GAACTCACAGAGATCCACCTGCCTCTGCCTCCCGAGCGCTGGGATTAAAGGCCTGTGCCACCACCGCCTGGCTATGACTCGCTATTTTAAATCAAAGAAAAACATAAACAAAGACAGGAATCAAATAATAGATTCCAATGAACCATCTCTGGTGTGTGTGCCAATCAAATTTTATAACCAGCTACACATAAAAATATGGAGGCTTTCCTCCCAAACAAAAACAGATGAAAGGAATCGGCAGACAGAAATACAAATTACCAACAAAGGAAAGATGCACAATCTCACTAGTATTCAAAGAAATATATATTTTAATCGGAATCATCATTTGACTAGCAGTATTTTAAAAATGTTTTTTGACATCAGCCATGTCTAAGGATAGCAACCATGTGTGGAAACAAACCCTCTCATCCATCATGTATGGGAATAAAATATTAACACATTTTAACAAGCAAAGCTAACAGACTGTTTTCTTCTGTGGTAGAAAACGGAGGCTACAAATCAAGGCTCTTCCAAGCATGAATATTACCCAAGAGCTACCTATGTAATTCATAAAACATGTTTTTTTTTTTAAATCTTTAGAAGGGAAAGTGTCCTTCATCTGAACCAGATTTTAAAGAACCTATAGTGTGCCAAATCTGTGGTGCGTTATATTATGGTTAATGTTTTTGCTTAGTCTCTTTGATTTTCTAATTTAAATATATGTATTGTTTTATTCATTTGACGTGACTTTGTGAGAAATGACAATGGTATGTCAACAACAGGCAGCCCCAATTCCATGAAACACTCATGCAATTAATTATTTAACTTCTTTTGTAAGTGGCATATTTGGAATCTTGAACCCTTTCTTCCAAACCATCTCCACCTTACCCACTCCCGTGCCACCCTACAAATACCCATTTAACCCTTTGTGTACCTGATATGTAAGAACAATCTTTTGTACCATGGACTACCTAGCAGTGTAAGTCCACGTTAAAGGTACCAGGTATTCATCTGCCCAGTATCTTAAGAGCAGAAGCAAAAATCCTCACCCCTTTTCCACACTCTGGGTGCGTTCAGAACATGATGTCCCTATCCGTCCTGGAATGGAGATCTCTGGAAGCACCAGTAGGGGGCAGAGCCTTTGCTGCCAGAGAGCAGGCTCCAGTGTGCTCAGCCACCAGGTAAAGGCTGAGACCACAACAGCTGCTGGAAAACTAGACTCTCCTGCAATGTGGGTTGTCCTCAGTAGAGTGTGTACACCTTCTGATTCACGGGGAATGCTGAGGCTTGAACCCGGTCACCTTGCCTTACCAATGCCGACCCTTTCGCTTTCAAAACCCCCAGTTGGAATAATGAAATCGATAAGCCTTGTCGTTCTCTGCCTCTTTTTAGCTCAGTGCCAGTGTGGTTTTGTTTTTCCATTCAGGAAAGGAACCAAAGCTCCTGGTCTTGCTATAGGTTTTCAGAGGAGTTGATAGACAAGCAACATAAAACTGGTTGTGAAGGAAAGGCTGTAACACTTTTAAATTGTTGCTTCTTCATTGAAGGTTCAAGAAGGAATTTAAGGAATGACTTGCTGGTAGCCGCAGATTCCATCACTAACACCATGTCCTCTCTTGTGAAAGAGCTGAATTCAGGTGTGTTTTGGGGTCCTGTGACTTGTGGGTTTGCTGTAAGAAGATCTTTATGCTTGGGGTCCCTCTTTGGAGACCTGATCATTGTCAAATACAAAAGGAGGTTTTAACATTTTAAAGGAATGTTTTTACTTCTGTGTGTGCATGTATGTGTCTGCACATGTGTGTGTGTGTGGATAAGTGTGCCTGTGCACATGCTTTGTCTATGCTTTGTCTATGTCTATGACAAGACCTTCTGATCCCCTGGAGCTTGGGTTGTAGATGGTTGTGAGTTTCCCAGCATCGGTGCTTGGACTGGAACTTTCTACAACAGCAGAAAGCGTTCTTAACCACAGAGTCACTTCTCCAACCCTGAATAAAGAAAGAAAACGCTGAATACCAAACTACTTTATGGTTAATTCATTTCAGTATCAACCCTCACTTTAGGAAAAAAAAACAAAACAAAACAAAACAACAACAACTGGCTGATGTCTGATGCACTGATGTTGCTGCATGTGGAAGCCGGGGAATTGTTTCTAGGCCCTAGCTTCCTGGGGAGCCTTCACCTTTATTTCTAGGTCATAAGCTTCTCTGTGTCTTCCTTTGCCCACTAGAGGTGGCGAGCGAAACAGAAAGCACTGTGGATTCCGAATTTGCAAGAACTCAGTTTGAAGGTCTGGTTCCATCACCAACCTCTGAAAAAGCTTTTCTAGCCCAAATCCACTCCCCAAAACCCAGGTACATTCATGGTGGAGCTACAAGTACCAGGCACGGTGACATGTGAGTATCTTGTTCTTGGAAGCATTTTCTCCTTTGGGAACAATTTGTAGGGGACCTCTAGAACGTTTAAAAAAAAAAAAAAAATGGACACAGAAAGGGTGCAGTACCTCATTCCACCAGAAGAGGCAGAAGAGTGCTGCATTTAGGTTTGTTACTGCGAGCAAAACAACTTCCAGAGTACTCAGCAACCTAAAACAATGAGTGCTTAAAGAAAGCCTGGCTCCTCTGATGCAGCCATACTCTAGTAAACTTCCTGTAAGTCAAAAACACATCTAATACAACTAAGCCATAGTGTGTTGTGACCTAGCAATGCTGATAGCACACTATATGGTGTCAATCAAGCATTAGCCTTCTGACCCATGTGACTGACAGAGGGCTGCAACTTACTGGTGACGCCAAATCCCAAGACAGTGTAGTTTGGTGGAGATACTAATTCAAAACTCAAAGTATGGTCGCCGTATGAATGCATATCACATCTGTATCACGGCAAAATTGGAAACAAAACCCTAAGTCGCAAGTCACTTGTAGTAAATAAGAGAGAAAGCATTCTCCCAGGCCACATATGCCACTTCAGAAGATAAGTCATCTTGTCTCTTGGATTTGTTACTTAGGGGACAATCCTGGTGCTAGAATGGCATTGGATAGAAGTCATTAAACACAAAGAATCTCTTTATAAAGGAACCCAGTTTGATTGACTCATTAAATAAGTATAGAGCTAAGTCTGTCAGAAACCATTTGCAGAGTTTGTCATCACAAACAACTGGGGATTATTTTCCTCTAAATGAATAAAAGTCATAGATGGGCAAGGGGCAGCTCCCTAAGCACTGGTGGCCCTGAGTTCCAGAGGCTCAGGGCTCAGATGACAAATTCCAAAGCTCATGGTTCTAACCCTTGAGAACTAAAGGCACCACACTTTCAAATTTGGAGGTTTATAGTCTGGGTTTAAGTATCAGTGTTCAGGGGCTACAGTGACACTGAGCCTGAAGTCAGACCCCTCAGATATTTGACCTGTGACAGTTCTTTCGATCTATAGTCCTCATAGTGTTGGTACCTGCCATCAGTTCTTCACAGATTCTCATCTTCCATACTCTCAGCTTCTCTACTGTATGTTGTCCTCTTGATGCTTCCACCATTTGTTCTACCCTTACTCACGTTCTGCTCTTGATCCTTCTCTGGAGCTCTTTTTGTGCCTCCTGGTGTTACAGCCTAGAGTTTTAAACAATGAATCAAGAGCCTTAGCTCCCAATGGCTTCCTCCAACTCTTCAGCCACCTCTTTATTATTGCTACCATTATGGGGTTGGGCTCTAATGCAACCAACACAGCCCATCCTACCTATACCAGGACCGTAAGTAGGCAAAAGACCATTCAGGGGAAGCATTTGGATAATGACCAAGGGAGAGATCTTCCAGATGACTCTGACAGGAGACACACACACACACACACACACACACACACACACACACACACACACACAGGTATATATGTCTCTCAACCCTTACTTATGAGCCAGTCACAAGCCTCAAATGGTACCAAGTGCTGGCTGACTTTTTGCTGAGTCATGGGACAGGTTGTCCCTTTCCCATCCTGAGCAACCAATGTCAGTTGGGCAGTTGTTTAGTGTTACAGAGTTCAGAGAATGGAGTCCTCCAAAGCCAACGGGAGTTGCCTAGAGTATGTATGACTGGAGGAAGGACTCTTAAGACAGGAACTGTGGCTCTCACAGTCCCCATGGTTGCAGCAATCTTTGGCTGCCGGAGTTGTGTTCCTTCAGAGTAACAGTGCAGAGTTCAAAACAGCCAGACTTCCAGAATTGCAATCTGGCCACTTGCCAATGATGCTGCTTGGCTGCTAGCTTCCCACTCAAGACAGCCAATAAGAGAAGGGCTGTCCTTCAGAGGGCCAAATAGCCAATTCCCTACAATTGTGTTCATTCATAGGAAAACAAGTAAAGACTGCTTACACTAAAGACTAGGAATTAACATTCCCAACAGTGTTTAAGAATGTTTGATTCCTAACCAAACACCCTCAGAAAGAACTGGCTCCTCTCATCCATCTCCTTACCTGACTAGGTTTGTATTATTCGACTAAAGCCAGCAGCAGCAGTGACATTCCAGATTTGCTGGCTGTGACATGCGCTCCCCTCCCCCCCCCCATCAAAAAAGGAAACCAAGGCTGAACTATAAGGACAAATGAGGGACCTAACTGAAGAGCCCAGTACAGGAAGGAACAAAGTAAGAAGGAAGAGAAGGAAGTGGGGTGCTAGGGGCCAGAGTGCTGATAAATGTGAGCATGGCTGGAAGCACTAAAATCACAACAGAAGGATGTGCTCCATGTGCACAGTACTTCAAACTAGTCTACAAAATAAACTGGCTGTTTTACAGGCCCAATGATGAAACTAACTAGAAGTCCTTCTGGTGTTCTGGCTCTAATTCTAAGTAATGTGTTAAAGGCCAGAAGTAACAGAGTCATAAAGACCTGTTTTGAAAGCCAGCTGTGAAGCAGCGTCCTGTAAGAGCAGAACAAAATAGCTACAGCATCATTTAAAATGACAGTGTGTGACTGGTTCTATTTTTAGTTTGTTGTCTTGTCCTTTCCTATAACATCTAGAATTGCATAATATGGTATCCCAAGTGGTGAACTGACATATTTTTCTAATAAACATATATTTTATTACTATGCATTTTGTAGTAGCTCTGTGACACACCTTTACCCCAGCCCTAAAACTCAAGACTGTGAAAGGCCTCCTCGCTTCCAACCACTCTCCCTGGTTGCCGGGAACCACAACCAGCTTCCAGCAAATGATCTGCTCGTTGAAGATACAGACTTCATACATGTCCTCCAGACTCTTGTAGGTTGGCCCTAAGCCTCCAAAAATAATATGCCCCATAAATAAGATAAACATGATAAATGACATTTAATGTCCATCCCCAAAACCTTTCTTTAACCCATCTTTTCATTTTGGAAGGTGTTTTACTGTCAACACTGCCTAAAAAAATAAAGCAAGCAAACCAACAAAAAAATAAATAAAATTTTTAAAATGTGCTGTTTTAATCCCAAGAATGTGATTTGGTTTAGGTAGTGAACCTGTGTTCAGCCCTGTGAGTCCTTTACACATGGGAGAAATAAGTAGGAAAAACTCCCCATTACTAAATGATGTCATTCTTATTTGCTTATAATGAATTTGAACAATGCAAATGGATTCTTCAGATTCGGTGCTAGTAGACTTTTGTAATGTCAAGAGCTATAGGTATATATCCTAGTATCAAGTCACTGAAATTATAAGATTTATTGTGCCTGTGTATGTTTGTGTGTGAACGTGTGTGTGTGTGTGTGTGTGTGTGTGTGTGTGTGTGTGTGTGTAATCCCCCCCCCCCGCCTCCTTTGTGTGTGTGTGTGTGTGTGTGTGTGTGTGTGTGTGTGTATGTTTAAGTATGTATGTGATACAGCACAAGAAACATTAAACCATGTGCACATTTCCTTAAGCTTTATTACACTAGAGGGCCCACTCGCCTTTCAGAAAGGAAAATGGAAATCTCATGCTGTAAAACTATACATTACCTCTAAAGACAAATTTGCCTTGTTTACGGTTGCAGAACATTTTAAGTGCTGTCTTTTCTGTATGCCCTATGAAAACATAAATGGCCAATGACTTTCCCACTAGTTTTGATTAAAATGAAAACATTTTAATAAATATTTCTTCAAACTTCAGGCTTTTCTTTCTATCTTTCTTCCGTCTTTCTTTCTTGTTGTTTTGTTTTGTTTTTCTTTGAGTCAAAGGAAGACATGAAAGTGAACTGGGGGACTCAGAAAACACATGAAGGAAAAAAGTGAAACACAGCACAGGAATTGCACCCACCCTGTGCTGTTACGACTACTCCCAAACACCTCTCACTTTTTCCTCAGCGTCCCAGAAGACGGGGACCCTTATGTGCAACACGAGGATGAGAACTACGAGAATGAGTCTGTGCGGCAGCTGGAGAATGAGCTGCAGATGGAGGAATACCTGAAGCAGAAGCTGCAGGATGAAGCCTACCAGGTACCTGAGACAGCAGCACCTGTGCCCCCCCCCACACACACACATACATACATACACACACACTCACATACACATGCACACTCACACACACACACACACACACACACACACACAACACACACAGCCCTCCACACTGGTGCCTTCCCATTCCTTGAAAACACAGGACTTCTTTCCTCTTCCCTACTTTACCGGAATATTCTGGTGGTATTCCTCAGTCCATTCATCCCATACAGCAATGTTTTAAAATGCTTCGTGTAGCTGTCGATTCTTCCAAATTCTGATCTGGAACATGAAACAGGCCTTTGTGACGTTGGCGGAATCATGGTGACAACCAACACAAATACCTCAGGGTTGTTAGAGGTCTTTTCTCCTAAGTTAAAATGGAGGGACCTAGGGAAATGATTCAGGGATAAGGCACTCACTGGTCGAGCAAGTGTGAAGACTAGAGTTTGGGTTCTCAGAATCTGGTAGGCATGGCGGCCCAGCCTAAAACACCAGCAATTCAGAAGCAAGAGCTCCCTGGAGCAAGCAGGCTAGCCACGATAGTCGAATCGTCGAGTGTTGGGTTCAGTTAGACCTCAGTGAATAAGGTGGAGAGCAATAGAGGAAGACTCCCAACATCAACCTTGGGCTCCCATATGCTTGCACCAACACATACACCCACAAACATGCATACATGTGTACTTGCATACACACACACCACACAAGCGAACATATGTAAAAATTGAAGCTCACATATCAAATAAAGAGATGAAAAATAGTGATAATTATATAAAGAACACATGGCACAAGAAAAATGAATAAACACCAATCCACTTCCTCCCCTGAATTGTCTCTGACTTCCTCATCGCCTGCATCACATCAAACCTAAGTCAGAAGGTGACAAAACTTCCTGAGGAACAATGAGGGACCTGTAAGCCCCTGTTCAGCAAGGAGCAGATAGGTAGACACTGAAAGAGGCTGAAGTATACTAGCCCATCTGAGAATTCTCAGAACATAGCTCATACAACTAACAATAATATAATTGCTTACTCTTGCCAAAAGTAATGAATTTGCCCCTCAGGGGTACTCCACTGCCTGCTTCTCCACAGGTGTGTGGTTGGGCTCTGGGGACTCGGGGGATGTTTTTCTGATAGAAACCAGCTGGTCTCAGCCCCAGCTGGTTATTGTTTTCCTATTAGACTTTTTGTCTTGTGGCTATACAAGCTTTCTCCACAGTCTTGGGTCACCAGTGGCCCTCTCTTACTCTGTCAGTGAATGACAGAGAATTGGTGAGAGCCAACTGGGTCTGACTTCTGTGTTATGATAGAACGAGCCTTGAAATGTTCCCAAGAGGACTGTGGCAGCAGAGAAACCAATGCCCAAGTTCACCTGAACAAAGTGTTGCTTGACAAGTGCTTTTGCCTTTTCAGCCTAGAAGCTGCCTTTCAAAGACAGTGAGAAAACAATAATAATAATAGTAATAGTAATAATAATAATAATGTGTAGAGCCATGCCCCTGTGCTACACAGTCACCTGATTACAAAGCCGTGCTGAATGCTCATTCTTTGTGACTTTTGTGGCTCATCCATAGAAAGAAACTAGCCTCCTATGAAGCCCCAGCTGGGAGTCTCTGGGAAGCCTACGGTGTGATTTCCTATATGCATCTCATGTAGGTCAAACACCACATGGAAGAGAAAACATCCCATTTGGGCTATTGGAGATGCCTGCCAGGTCCTGTTCTTCAAGCTTATCTTCAGTTTCTGGGGTTTACTTTAACCATAATTCTAGATTTTTTTAGATGACTTTTCTCCAGTCTATAACAAATGTTAGATTCTTTTTTGTTTTTGTTTGTTACTATTTATTTATGTTATTATGTGCATTGGTGTTTTGCCTGTATATATGTTTGTGTGAGGATTCTGGACTCTCTGGAACTGGTGTTGACAATTGTAAGCTCCATGTGAGTGCTGGGAATTGAACCCTGGTCCTCTGGAAACATAGTCAGTGTTCTTAACCACTGAGCCATCTCTCTGGTCCCCCAATATTAGATTCTTAATGAAGTATTAGTTAATGTTACATGAGCAAAGTAAAGGGGGGGTTCTATCAATGACAAGATTAACTGGAGTTTTGCCATGCCCAGTAAATCTCTGGTTTCTCTCTCTCTCTTCTTGCCACTCTGTGCTTGAGGATCTCAAGGAAAAGAGCAGGGGAGGGGCCCATGTGCTCTCACTCAAATTCGTGTCCTGGAATCTGGTGGAGTGGTTTTCTTCAAAGGCTGTGTAAGCAGAAGGTGACAGGATGGATGGAATGCATCTGTCGACCTCCGGACTCTCTCCCTCTCTGTGTGTCTCTGTGCATGGCTTCCAGCCAAATAATTCACCAGCTTGACTGCCTCACTGACTTGACATGTCACCTTTCTTGTTTGTGTCCTTTGTCACCCACAGGTCAGCTTGCAAGGCTGAATGCAATATCCTTTTCTCACTCTCCTCTCAAGTAAGTATCCTGTTGTTTGGGAGGAAGCATGGACACTGTAGGCTGAGCTGTGATGACTCTAAACCTAAGCTCACAATCACTCTCTGTGTGATGTAGTATTCGCCTTCCCTGCTGCTATCAGAGTGGTAACTCCCACCACAGAGTTCATTATAATCCTGTGGAAATCTCCCAGACACCCCTGGAGTAGACTTTTTACTTGTTGATTAGGGCAGTTGTCCCAGAAACTTCCATGGCACCTGAGGTGCACCGGACCCTCCGTGGCCACATCAGCAGTGACATCAGAGAAGGAAAAAAAACAAACTACTTCAGCATGCCTGGATGTCAGCTCTTTAGTCCCCAAAGAACAAATGTGTGCCCTGTAGCAAGAGACAACACAATCAAAATGGGAAAAAAATTCCGGCAGCCTTGTGTTTTGAGGGTGACTAATTCAAATCCACTGAGAAGTTCAGTGAGATACAAGTTAACTCAAGTTGTCCTTTCGGTTATTTCATCCCACTCTAAAGATTTGCCTAATAATGGGCCAAATTCTCAAGTCACTTTTTTCTTTATCATTGAAATACTGGTGCCAGACTGTTAAAATCACTTGGGTTTCATTATCTAAGTCTTGAGTTATGCATTTTATTAGAAACATTTTGAAATACAAATGTCACTGAAACTTACCATAATTTGGACAAACTATTAAGCCTTTATGAGTTTCCTCTGTACATCATGGTAATTTACCTACCTCACACAGAGGAGGTGGTTATGTAGGATATATAAAGAGCTTGACACACCATAATTTGTTGTGGACAGGCACATGTGTGCATACCTCCACATGCTCCAGAACCCATGCAGTACTGGGGAGCTGCTACAGTTCTCACAGAAGTGTAGTGAAGCCATGGGACTCAGAATGACCTTGTTATTTCAGCTTTTATAAACAGGCCACGACTCAGATACCTGCAATAACAGTGGAGTCCACTGTCCCATAAGTCTAAATGGCTTCTCTAGCTCTAGCTAATGGCTATTTGATGGTCCCTCATCAAAGCCTAAGTTCATGCACTTCCCACAGCAATCAGGCTGGCCTGACCAATGGATTTGTGTCTAGCGTAGTTACATAATCCTTCCCAACCGTGCAATCTCATGAGTCTACAGTGTAGCTGATAATTCACTCTGCCAACCCTAGTTGCTAATTTTAGGAATGAACTTATTTCTTTAGCAACGTTTCAAGTAGTAATGAATACACACTAGGTCAAACTCTACAAGCATCCTAGCTCCACCTCCAGGTTCACAACAAGTGAATAAGACTGCACCAATAAGGCAGACCTTCTGAGCTGTTAGACAGGATCTTACAAGAGTGCTCTACTTGCCTGTCCCTTGCATTTAAAAATGGAACACTACACCCTCTCCTAATTCACGATGACTACAGTGAAAAATATTCCCAGGAGCTGTTTCTGAAAATACTCACTCCGTTTATAGCAAATCTAGTCCCAAAGGAAAAGGCTTTTCCTTAATAGCATTTTCTTTCTCTTAGCTCCAACAATTTAATCATTTTGTTCTGTGTATTATTTAAACATCAGAGGCTTCTTCTTAGAAAATCATTCATTTTTTAAGATAAAATGGCCTTGCTATAAACACACATAAAAATTGCATCATGTTCATTTTGTACCTAAAAGCTTATTTTTTTTCACTTTTTACTTTCTTGGAAATTTGGTAGTAAGAAATGAAACAGGTGTGACCTCTGTCATTTACTGATTAGATGGCATTCTGCAGGAGCCTAAACACAAGCCAGCCTGCTGCTAAATCAGCCAAGGATGCAAAGTGCTTTTAAAATCTTTCAGAATACTACAAAAAAAAAAAAATAACAACGTTGTTTCACCTTATAACTCCTTTTACCCTCCTATGATGTTCCTAATGAGATCAATACAATTGCGATTTTAGAACTATCTGTATAATTAGTATGTTTTTGTTTGGACCTTCTGACTATATTACAATACCAGAATTATCCCAAAGTACATGCCTCTCATATGAAAGGGTCCTGAACCAACTTCATTGGCTTGGCATCAGTCAGCCAACTACCCATGTAGAGTCCTTCATGAATAAGGGCAGAACACGGAAACTAAGAAGCAGGAAGATTTGCTGTAATCAGGCTATGGGTCTGTTTGTAAGCCATTGTGTGCCTGCCTTTAACTGTTCATGAGCCTCAGGGGAACCCCAGGGATCCCTTAAGAAGGATGCTCAATGAGAACTCTACAACATCTCTTCCAGAAGACACACAGTGTCCAAGGCATTGGTTCCTGATTTTCATAGGAAGGAAATACAATGAGTGGGAGGGGGGCTGAGGGGGGGCAGGGGGAGGGACTCTAAACTGCTTAGCCCTGATTTAGAAACAATTTCCACCTGTTTAAAAAAAATTACACACTCCTTATTCCCAGGCAAGCTATAGTCAGACAAATGATGAAAGTTACATGACATCCGGTGATGGAGAGAGCTGCACCTACAAAGAGGAGGAAGACAGCAGCGTGGCAGCAGTCTCTCCCTCCCTGGGAGAGAGGAGCCACCACATCCAGCAGCTCCAACAACCCCTCCCCTAAAGATGTGTTCTGATGCCTCTAGTGCAGCTAGCTTTCTGTTCTAAGATTTGTTGGTCATAGGTGTGTGTTTTAGAAGGGGGTGGGGGGACGAGACTTCTGTTCCTAGACAATTTATCAACTCCATCTCCTGTAACATGGCCCATCCCAGGTTCAAAGCAAACATCCACAGGTGGAGAGTCCGATGCTGTTACACAGGACAGTAGTATTAACGAGCGCTTTAAACCTTTGCACACAATGTTGAACCCGTTCAGTTTACAATGACAATATCAATCTGTTTGTAGCTAGAAGTTGCATTTCTGGATTCTTTGAGATTTTAGTAAAGACAGTTTTATTATATACTAAACATTTTCCCCCACAGCAATTGAAGGGGGAAAACAGCAATCTGCAATAGGATTTGGTTTCCGAGTGTCCACACTCAGAACCCAGAAGACAAGCAGAGTCCTTGGCCTGCCCATGTCTCCAAGTCCCTCTGAGAAATTACCTAAACCTACCACCCAGAATAATGGGTTCTTGGAGGCTTATTTCCAACTTTTGGTTGTTTTCCTTCAAGGTACTCTAATGAGTCAGCCATAGAATTTAATGTAAATACTTTTTCCAAATAGATATCATATTCAAAGAGAGAGAGAGAAAGACAACATTCAAATGATATAGAATCTAGTTTTTAAAATCAGCACAGATCTTCTTAAAAACTGTGAACTATGTTTTGGAATCCTCGTTACGAAAGCTGTTTATAAACCACAGGTGCCATAAGATCCCCCAATGGACTACAGTTATCTGCACTCCTCCAGGTCTTGCTCTCCACATTGTATCCTTAGGAAGCATGTCTTACCCAGCACTGCTCATTGACAAGTTCTCTCATCGGGTAGTTCCGAAGCCTTCAGCTTTAAATGTATGGGCTTACAGTGCGCTTGCAGACCTTCGCTCCCTCACTTTTCTTTCTGAATGTTGATTGCCTTACCTGGCCACCTGTTGTTCTGCATGCAGCGTTGTGTGGTCATGTGAAAGGAGACAGGCTCTTCCGTGTGGTACTGGTGTCTCACACCCAGTTTGAAGCTGGTGTGTGAAAGAACTGTCAAAGACAAGACTGTGGATGGTCCTTCATGAGGCCCCTCGTTAGAGAGATCTCAAAAGGGCCTCCCTTAGTGATTCTGGGGAAAATGGAAAAGTAATAGGTTATTTCAAGATCTAATGTATAAGGAAAAGAAAAAGCCAGACACCTGGTGGCCATCTTAAACTAGCAGCCTCTCTGGAATTCCTGGGTTTTTCTTCTAAAAGACAGAAGGGAACATCATTGCAGAACAACGGTTCTCAGACTGTGTCCCTTAGACCAGCAGTGTTTGTGCCACCCAAAAGTCATAGCCATGCAGTTTCCTAGGCTCCAACACAGACCCACTGAATCCAAAACTCTTGGGCCTGGCCTGGAGTTTTAATCAGCCCTCCTAGTAGTTCTGATGTAAGCTATAAGATGAAAATCGTGGTTCTAGAGTACAGTTGTGAAGCAGGGACTGGAAAAGGCCTTATCCAGGCTAAGTTGTAACTCAGTTGGTTGAGTGCTTGCCTAGCATACACACAGCCGTGGGTTCAAGCTTCCAGAGCTTGTAGACCTGGCATGGTGACACATGCCTCTGCTTCTAGCACTCAGGAGATGGAGGCCAGAAGATCAGGAGTTCGAGGCCATCCTCAGCTGCAGTGAGTTTGAGACTAGCCTGGGCTGCATGAGACCCTGTCTTGAAGGAAGAGGAAAATGTTCAGAATAAATGAGAAATGTTCTAAGTGGACCTCAGATTTAATTTGCTCACTGGGCTGGCAAAAGCCTTCTCCCACCCCACACACCTAGACAGTTTTGAGAGGCTAAGAACTCACTCTTTGACCCCACTGTCTGCAGAGAGCTATTGGATGTTCTTGCCTCTGCGTTTGGTCAGAAACCTTCTCCTTGGCTGCCCTTTAAACAAAAGCATTGCCTTGAGGATAGCTGAGGGCTTGGCTGGCATCGGTAGAGGACCCCGAGCTGTCCCTGCGTGTTCTTAGTCTATTTCTCTCGAGAAAACCCGCTTCACAAGATTCCCTGAGCACAGGCTAGCACCAAAGTTCCACAACTGCACAGTTCTCTGATTTCTTTGCACAGGTGGATTTTATTGCGGGTTTTGTTGGCGTGTCTTAATGTTCATCTCTCTTCCCCTGCCCATCCTCTGTGAAACCACACCTCTCTTGATGGTGCAGGTGGCCACTGGTGCCTCATACTCAGTACTGAAAACCACTACATGCCAGATACCTGCATTTCTGTCAGCTCGAATCAGAGCCACATAGGACATCAGAACGTAGACCCCACCGGTGGCCCTCAGCCACTGGCTGGACTGAGCTGACCCATGTTGTCTCTCTGGTTTTCTACATCCAATGTGTGTCTAAGGTTGGAACCATTCTACTGAAAACCTTCCCTCTTGTCACAGCTTCCCACCACCAAGCAGCTCCATCCCATGGTATCGACCCCATTGTACAAAGCCATTACAGGATCTCTCTGAAAACCACTCCCAGAGAGCAATTTCTCACTAACCAGCCACCTTTTCTTTCTCTTAGCTCCGCGTCAGCACTGAGACCAGATTCAAGCACCCCTGTCCTGTAAACGAGACAAAATGGCGTGTGTTGTTCTGGGGTTTTGTGATTGTCGGTGGATTCCTTTCCTTGGCCTTCCAAGTTTACTTTTGGGGCCTGTTCTAAATGCAAACCCAGCAGGTTTCGTCTGTCCTGTCCATTCTACTCAACTGTGTCTCGCAGGGGTTGTTCTGTCTTATCCCACAAAGAATTGCACACCCATGTCCATCAGAGCTGGTGGCCTATGAATGAGCACTGGTCTAACACCTCCAAGCTCCCCCACAGCACTGTGGTCAGGAGGTGGGTGAAATCTACTGTATAGGATTCAGGAATTGGTTGTGGTTTGTCGGGATGGAAGTTGGGGTAAGTTTGGTTGGTCAGAGGGAGACGTGTTGGAGATTATGAAGGTGGAATATCGGATGATCTATAATAAGGCAGGGAAGGTTCATTTGTAAGTAGTAATGTGAACTGAATTGCATTAAGATTGTGGCCTTTGTGTGATATATACTATGTATTTTCTTATATGCATGAGCCAAACTATTGCAATATAATTTAGCACTGGTGTCTGCTTTTATTTTGACCATCTTTGTCCACCATTATTAGTTCTTGGCTGTTAAGTGTAGATAGATCTTGTAAATATGGCAACCTTTGGTTGCTATGCTCACTTTGTTTCGATTCCACACAAGGAGCCACAAGCAAATAACTCCACTGTGTCGTCAGAAGATGGGGCATTTTTACTTTGAACCAAAAAAAGGAGAAAAAAAACACAGAAACATTCATTGCATATTGAAGCTAATTAACATAAGACATTTAAATTGTGACTACTGTAATTTGACCCCATTTGAAATAACCAATTCAGAAACACTAAAGAGTTCACAATATTCATTGGTATTGTAACAAAACTACTATAATATGTTGTTTTGTTTTGTTGATATTGCTGTCAAGTCTTGTTTTGTGTGTGTGTGTGTGTGTGTGTGTGTGTGTGTGTGTGTGTGTGTGTTAGAACCTCCTGGGGACATGTTATATTTTGAAGTGATTAAACTATTTAATTGTGCGTCTATATTTTGGAATGGAATTATTTCTTCATTAAAAATGTTTTTTAAAACACTATTACCTT